AAGAAAATGGGAATCTTCTTGCGTATAGATATCGGTGAGAAGTAACAAGTCTCCATATGTAACATCTACTTCGGCAAAAAAATCACGAAATAAAGTACGATTTTAAAATATTAGTTATTTTTACAACCACTTTCATGCATATTTCATGACATTTATTTGACGGAAGGAGTTTTCACATAAGATCTATTGATGAACAGTGCGGTGTATCACAGGACAGTTAATATTGTTTTGTTTAAAAAGTCCTGAAAATCCAATTTCAATTCCTATTATAGCTTTGGCTGCATCAGTGATTATACAGGAACATTTATGGAATCCCCATAGTCTGATGGAGAGGAATAATATCTATATAATATCTGCTAGACTGAAGTTCAAACAAAAATTATAAGTTGGCTGATATCAGATAGGTCAGTGCTTTCGTCCAGGCAAGGTAAAAAATATTTACATTTTTTAACTATTATTGTGACGTACAATTTTAACTATTTTAACTATTACACATTGGAAGAATGAGTTGAATTTATCTTCCGTTTTTCTTTCAACAGTTTTAGCTCAGAGATAAAACGTTTTCAATTATTGAACCGTGATATTATTTCTAAACAGAACCTCAATGAGTAACGTTAGATACAAAATACGGCTTTTGTACAAAACTGTTAACTTTTTCTTGATAATATCATGTAAAATGCAATGTTCTAGAGAAATTATATAAACCAATTTATTGAGTGAACATATTGAATGTGTTTACAGTTATAATAGTACCTGTTTATCTGTTTAAGGGAATTAAAACGCGAAAAATTGCTTATTTTATCATCAGATCGGCTAATAATTAAACATTAAATATCCCAAGACGCAAATTATGATTAGAAAAATTGTTAATCACGCCGTCTCATAACGGATATTGCGATGGATGTGATGTTAGATGAAATATGAGATATTTTGCTTGTAGATATACTAAATGTTTATTTATAACCATTAATCAATTAAAAATTGACGCATCTAAGACCAAATTGTAAAATGCTTGTCGTGTTATCCTCCTTATTTAGTATGTCAGCCATATAGTGGTACCAAAAAATGAGAGGGAAATTATTTTTTTCCTTTAGTTTGTACAATGTACCGGGTGACCCAATAAGGTTATCTTTCGGTCATATCTCAAGAACCTTTTATAATACAGCTTCTGGGAAAAAATTTCAATGGCTAACATAGCCATGAGAAAACCTAACTATTTAGAGAATCGTAGGACGACCGCTAGATGGCGTAACTAAATACCAAATAGTAAAATGATTATTTTATACAAAATTTATTAAGTCAAGGTCTTAGAAGACCATCCACGAACAATTGAAATTTTTGTTCTCAATTTTTTTTGGCTGCATGTCTTTTTCAATTTAACCTAAAACAAAATAAAATTGAGTTTTATTCAGTCTGCAATATTTTGTAAATAAATCTTCATCGCCTTATAGGTGCTGTAAAATTAACAATTTCTGTTTTTCGTTTTTTAAATAAGGAGTGTGCTCTCTTGCTTTTCTTATATAAATAGTACAATATTAAATCCTGATCTTCCTCTAATAAAATTCGTTTGATAATCCTATTCTTGGCAGACATTCTACATGCACCTTTCTCAACAGCAAAAGAAGTACTGATCTGTCATTCTGTCGCATGCGTAGCCATAGCCGCCGGAATTCAAAAATCGCTTTGGGTGCCCGGCTTCTATGCGGAAAATGGGGGCTATCCCCCCCCCCCCGCCGTTCACAACTCACTTAAAGGCACCACAGGTTTTTTAAAAAGCTATTTTAAAGTTGATTTTATGAAAATTTTCTTCAAAAAAAAGGTATTGTCAAATGGCAATTGCTGGATAGGCTGGAGGCTCCCACCTAAAACGGTATATCTGATAACCCTATATGCTCGATGCAGCCATCACTGGTATTTTGAAGGTATTTTTAAATAGATTATAACCCCCAAATTTTAAATCGCCACTGTCTTCCTAGCCATTATCTTTTAACGATTTTTATTTTCTGTAAAAGCCTACCAGTTAATCGAGTAAATGCTAGAAATGCTGATTCTGGGCCTCCATGCAATAAAAGAGGTTTTGTTCAAAATGCTATCGGACATTTTGAAGCATCTATGTGGTTATTTGATGACATTCATCAATTATCCGTCGTTGTCGCTGATTTTCCAGTGATGTTGGCTGGGTGGCATACATTTTAGTTTTTAAGTGGCCTTATAAAAAATCCAACGGGCTTAGATCCGGAGACTGTGGGGGCTACTCAATACTTCCTCTTCTTCCTAACCTGGAAACGTTTGATCCAAATACTGACGAACAGTGGTGCACCGTCATGGTGGAATATTAAGTTGTTTGCTATGTACTGATCGTCATTTTCAATCATAATTTTTTCATTAACTGTTTAAAATCTGTACATTGTTAAATAATATATCTTACTGTATTTTATCTGTAAACGTTTAACTTTATATCTTACTAGCTATAAGTGAATACTGTTTTTGGGTTCGTCCTGTTTTGTATTCCAACTAAATAAATAAATAACTCTAGTAATGCCGGATAAATAGCGTTTTCTAACTCCAAAATGTAATTTCGATTTTGATTGTTAAACAGTTAGGCAGTTCTATTAGCACATTTATTGTTCGCAAAAAAGTGAAATTATTTGCACCCTCTTAGCAATAGAGTGAACCATTATCACTGATATGCCACTTTTATGCCGACTCTACAACGAAAGTAACTAAACCTTACTACTTTACGACGACCAAAGAATGTCATCTGATAAGAATAATAATATTTTATTGAGGCATCTGACGCTATACCAACTAGGGCCACGACAGCTTCTTCATTTCACTTATTAACACTTTTTGTCCTCGTTGTGCTCTGGGTGCTCCGCACCCTGTTCAAAACTGCTTTGGGTGCCTGCGCACCCGGAGCCCCGGGGATTCGGCGCCTATGTGCGTAGCTTGCTACAAAGGAGCCCTCTAGGTGTCTCCTGCCCTGCCTCGGTCGCTTACCTCTTGCCTCGGCCGCCTGCAACTGCAGCATGTCTATGCAGCGACTATCGAACGAGTACCTTAATTAGTACAATAGTTACGATAAAATGACCAGCTCGTTTTCCAGATCTAACACCTACTGACATTAATTTCTGGGATATTTTTAAAAGAAAGTTTGAACGAGCTAAATACTAATTTAGCAACTAGCTTCATGATTTTTAAAAAAAATAGCACTGACCCTCGTAGTATTAAATTTATAAACAGGCCGTAATCGATTCTAAATAGAAAATCAGTGGAATATAATTAAAACTAATACATTCACAAGCATGTGAACCGGCTAAATAACGTCTTATTCACAGAATTGATTATCTAACCTAATTTTCTTTTTATTAAAAAAAGTGTTACATATTCAATCTCGCGAATGTTTTCCATTTAAAAAATCTCTTTATACGGTTATTTCAATTGTGCATCAGATAAAACAGTTAAGTTTTTCTATACCGCTTCTTAATTTTTTTAACTATTTAACCTTTTGATCAAGATTGCCTGTTATAATTGTTCTTTTATAATGGGATTTTTTCATGCCTTTTTAAACAGAAAAATTCAATTTGTTTAATTGAGGCTTATAGAAATGATAAATTGAAAGGATTATCAATGGGATTTTATCTATTTTAAAAGTAATTAAATGCGTGGTCATCGCCAGGGAATAGAATGTGATTTACAATTTAATATACAGGGTGGACCATCAGGAACTGTATCGATCAATATATCAGAAACTGGTTGTAGGAAAAATTCGAAAATTTGTAAATTTGTCTTGGGGTCTATTCAGCTAAAATATTTTTATTTCTGATAACTAATTATATAAGATATTTAAAAATAAGATTGAGAAACCCGTTGAAAATCAATTTTATGAGAATCTTGAGTAGAATCCAAAAATGTAACATATAGAATGTCGTATTCAAAATAAGCGACTTAAGGTCTTTTTCTGGTATAACCGGATGTGCTCTACGCTGGGCCAAAAAAATAAAACAATTTTTTTTTTTAGCGGAATTATGAGAATATTGTTCATGACGACAAAAAAAATTTTCCTGAAAGTTTGAGCCCTTAATAATAATATTAAGAGGTGCATCATTGCAGTTATTGATTTATCAACAGTTGTCGCGTTTTTGCATAAATTTCGTATTTGGTCAATTTAAAAAAAAATGTTCATCTCTTATCCACAAAAAAGCTCTCTTAGTAAATTTTCGTAAGACGAGTCTATTCTTTGTAATCTTAATATTTAAGTTCATTTTGGAAATCCCAAATGCAATATATACCAATGTTTAAGGCTCGATTACAAAGAATAGACTCGTCTTACGAAAATTTACTAAGAAAGCTTTTTTGTGGGGAATTTAATTTCCTACAAGGATAAGAGATGAAAAAAATTTTTAAAATTGACCAATTCCGAAATTTATGTAAAAACGCGACAACTGTTGAAAAATCAATAACTGCAATGATGCACCTCTTAATATTATTATTAAGGGCTCAAACTTTCAAGAAATTTTTTTTTGTCGTCATGAACAATATTTTCATAGTTCCGCTAAGAAAAAAAATTGTTTTATTTTTTTGGCCCAGTCTAAATTGTGCTCAATAGATGAAAATATTTTAGCTGAATAGGCTCAAAAATATCTGGCAAGTTCCCAAATTTTATTTTTTTTTCTCTTTTCAATTTCTTAGATATCGATCGATGGTCCCCCATATGAATGAATGAATGAATGTTTATTATTATGAATCAATAAGTTTACAAATATAATTTAAAATATGCATACATAAAAAACATATAATAAACAATAAGTCACAGCATATTGACATGTCCTGTACGTGACTATGAGAAGTATAATTATTGTATTAGTATTTAAAAACGTTAAAAATATAAAATTATTTAAAATGCAAAAACATTAAAAATATAAAAAACATATTACCTAATGTTAGACAATATTATCTTATAAGAACATAAAATCGAACCATAAAATTATAAAAATCTAATGTACAAGTGGGTAAGTATTTGTATAAATGATATTATTTTATTCAATTAAGTCATGTATTTCTTTTAAAAGTTTTTAAGTTTGTTTGTCTTTGGATATTGTCGGGTAAGGGTGAGATTACAGAACGTCTGCAACTTTGCAGATCTGCAAATATGGCAGCAACTTTGCAGATCTGCAAATATAGCGGACTTACAGATGCAAGTATCCAAAAAATATCTGCAAATTCGCAATATTTATTACCCCTAACAACATTAAATCCAAATCCACCCTTAAGAAGGTTAGAATAACATCCTACAACCATGAAGTCTTCTGTTTCTTTTGATTGAATACAGTTCATGGTGTCAGATTATCGAGTTTTTAAACATAGTAATGGATTTGGGTTTAGTGTTGTTAGGGATAATACACCACAATAAATATTGCGAATTTGCAGAACTTTTTTGGAATACGAAAACTTGATACATGCACATGTAAGTCCGCCATATTTGCAGATCTGCAAAGTTGCAGACGTTCTGTAATCTCACCCTAAGCTATTAAATAATTTGGTTCCCAAGTAAAGATAACTCTTTTGTCCTTTATCCTTGATCATTAAGGGTATCACATATTTATTTCTAATACTTTGGCTAAGCTAGATATAAGAGAAATAGGTCTGTAATTTTCTACGTCATATTTATTTCCATTTTTGTAGATTGATGTAACAATGCTGTTTTTGAATGGTTCAGGAAACTGCCAATTCAAGCGATTTATTTATTATTACGGTTAGTAGGTATTTTATATAATTTTCAATGACCTTAAGTACTTCAGCACTGATTTTGTCATACCCAGTAGCTTTTTTAGATTTTAGTTCATATATGATATTTTTTATCTCGGTTTCATTTGTTGGTTCAACATATATAGATTGACAATTTACTTTCTTTATGGTTTTTTTGGTTTTTTAATCTTACTTGCCAGAGTTTTGCCGATGTTTATGAAGTAGTTATTAAAAATATTTGATAATTTTTCTCAATCATTAATATTTTTTTCGTTTTCTTTAAGAGTTAGTGTTTTATTTTGTGTACCTTTAGAAATTACTTCATTAACTATATTCCAGAGCCTTTTTGATGAATTTTTCTCCTTTTCTACTTTCTTTTTATAATAAGATAATTTTGCTTCTTTTATTAATTTTTCTGTGATATTTTTATACCTCAAGTACTCTAATTTAAAATGTTCATTATTAATATCCTTCTTATGTTTGGTGTAGAGGTTATTTTTTTTATTTACGCATTTTGATGGTGATGGTGTTATCCAATCTTTTCTTTTTCTTTGATTATATTTTAATTTTATATTCATTGTAAATTTATTTATGGTGTTTTGAATAGCCTGAATTATTTTTTTCGTTTATATTTCTAGGTCTGGTTCATCAAGTATGTTGTTCCAGTTAATAATTTGTATGTTATCCATTAATTTTTTGTTATCAATTTGTTTAATGAAATTATTTTTCTTAGATTTTTTTTATTGTTTGTATTAATATATTCTTTTTCAAAAATAATTTGCATCATTGTTGTGTAATGATCAGTAATGGAAGTTGCAATAGTCATGGGTATTATCATATCATAATTATTACTTTTTGTATGTATAAACATGTGGTCTAAACAAGTTTTGGAATCCTTTTTCCCTCTTGTAGGTGTATTTATTGCAGACATATATCCATATTCACTTAAAATATCTAGATAATTTTTACATTCCCTTGTATTCTCTAGCAAGTTAATATTAATGTCACCTACGTAAAAAGAGTGTCTTAGAAGTTCTAATGTCACCACTTCATATAATTTTTGGACTTAGAGGTCTTTATTATAAATTAAATTTTAACACGATACTGCCAGCGGTACAGGTTATTTTTGTTTTGTTTTCTTCTCGGTGACAAAATGAATTTTTGAAACCAGTTTCATAATGTTCAACATTATGCAATTGGTTGCGTATAGTAGATCATTTTGATACTTGCTGCAATTACAAAAAATGTCAATTTGTAAGTCAAAATTAGAAATTAGATTTTAAAATTAACATTTATAAATTCAACAATGCTTTTGAGCAACTAACTATTTTGAGCACAGCCCTCGTAGGTATAATCGTTCTACGCGTATACGAATTATTTTGATTGACGTTTCAAAGAGAAAGATTTAATAAATGAAATAATTAATAAATAGACGTCTGTATCAATACATTCTTTAGTATGAATGGAGAAATTTAAATGAAGTATTCGTGCATCTTAATTGCCGATAAAGATCGGTTTGTTTTAGATATTTATTTTAAAGAATGAATAAAATTAATGGCAATAATTTTTAAGTGACAATCGAGTGGGCTGTGGGATTGAAACTGCTGTCATGTGTGTCATGGGTTTTAGAGAAGAAAAATGATTATTAAATTACTAGACAAAAATAAAAATAGAAATGTGAATAGAAAATAATCAAGGAGTATGTAGGTAACTATGAAAATCAGCCGGAATTCGTAAGTTTCAACAGATTTAAAAAAATATATTTGGAGATTCGCAGTACTTTGAATGGCTTTTTATAGAATCGAAATTTTCTCCGAATTTCGTCAAAAATGCCAAATCGGACTGAGTAAAACTAAATTTTTCGCAATGACGATGTCCATTGGCGTGGGTACACAGAAACTGGGATGGGTTCGGCCTTTTCAACAATGTGACATTTATTTTGGGTGTATCAATGAAAATATATCGCACTGGTGATGAAAATTTGAACATTTATTCGTTCAGTGCGAAGTCATGGTGGGGGAAGCAGAAGCGATACTAGCGCTAGCTGCGGATAATTCGTGCATTTTAGGGCGATATTTTGTAATTTGGCGTATCAAATAAACGTATACATTTTACATTTTTTCAAAAAAGTAGGTGAAAACAGTACAATAAGCAACCGGAGTTGCTGTGTTGAAAATTGTAAAAATACTAGAAAAAATAAACAGTGTATAAAAATTTTCAGTAGCAAAGTGGAAATTAAATCAAAGAAATAAATGTATAGGGGTACAATAAGAAGAAAAATTACCTTTATTTTTGTAATAATGACAGTAATACTGGAAATAGTAGGCATCAGAAACTTGAAAGGTTTTAAATAAACAATAAATTATCATTTTACGATATTCTCCAACATGCATTTAATCTTAAATGTTTAGCAAGAACTAGATTTCTACCTTTGATTATTGTAGGTGGTTGGAATGCAATTTTGTGATAGGAAACCAGTTTTATTCATTCATTCTATGTTTTCTTTCGTACAATAATGAAAATATAAATAACGATCCTTCTGTTTATACATTTTAACTTCACGCTATTATTTAATGGTATTTTTTTATTTTGACAGAATAGGGTAATTCTTCAAATATAACTTATTAGACTTAGGCAACTTTTCATACATTTTTCCGTAAATACTATTGCCTGTCTATATTTTATTATTGATTTTATGATTTTATGATTAATTTTTTTTTTAGTTTAAGCGATAAAAATATATATAGTAATAATAAATTAATGTTTTACTTGTTTTACAAATCCATATACTATTATTAAAACTAACTTTTATACTTTTTAACTACGAATTCTATTAAAAATTGTATTGTCAGTATACTCAAAAATAATCCATTACTACATAAATGAATTGGCGCTGCTGTTACGCAGGGAGCGAATAGAAGAGTTACTAGTCTATGTGCACACCTAAATGTTATATTAGATATTTAAGAAATTACAAAATTATGGTTGAATCAAAAATTCAAACTTTTTTAGTTATTATTTTAAATTTAATGAATCTTTCTCTTTTGCAGGTCACGGTGTTTGCTCAAGATTATGAAGGTAAGTTTGAAAGCAACATTTTAAAATTCAGAATACCTTTAGTCTAGATTCTTCTAAATTACTTCAGTAAAACTTTTCAAAACATCAAAAGCATACATTTTTATTAATTAAATTATTAAAAGCCATATTTGAAGTAATACATTCTTCGTTAATTATTTTGGTATTCTGAAAGATTTTGATGTTACAAATTTGCATTACATTAATTATGTACTCTGATCTTAAACCACCAGTGGCGTATACAGAGTTTAAGTCTGTGGGGGGTAGTGGTAATAATTTTTAAGTCTGGGTGGTGGTAGTGGTAATATTTAAGACGTTTACTTGATAATAATACATTTTAGTACCTATAAGAACGGGTTTAAAATTCTTAGAAGGGGTAATTACCCTAACTACCCCCCTTTAAACCACTGTAGGCGAGATATTTAAATCTATAGGTAAGATTTCAGAATTTTACGAATAATTTAAAAAAAAAATGGAAAATAATAATTGATTTTGTGAAATTGGTCAAGCAAAAATTGAACATTTCTAACAAAATACTGTACCCTTTAATTCTTTTAGATGCACTTTTGTATATAGGTAAATTAGACTAAATCGACTTAATTTCATCCAATGTTTATTCCTTGAATTTTGAAATTTATCAGAATATCTGTATCTGTAACGTGTGGACTTAGGCCTCACTAGGCCCATTGTGCATCCTCCTAAGATGATAGGCACATCCTAGCTCGTGAGCCAGCCTACAGATTTAATGTAGTTGACAAGGTCGCCAAGAGGTGCTTCTCTTATATCGGCCGGTGTTAGCCGATACTCGCCGAACATAAATCTCCTGATAAATGAGAGCGTCGAGCAATCGTAGAGGATATGCTCGATAGTCTCATCTTCTTGTTCGCACCCTCTGCAGAGTGCGGATTCTGACAGCCCCATGATATGGAGATGCTTCCGTACTTGACAATGACCTGTTAGAATGCCTGTGACTAGGCGCATATTTTGTCTAGTCATAGTCAAGTATTTGTTTGCTGCAGTGTTGTCAGGATAACTTAAAAGCTCCCTGGCAACTCTGTAGTTTATTGTTTCATCCCATGTTTCCTTGAATTTCACAAGGTTCTATTTCAACCGTGCGGAGGCGTATTATTGTCGTCAGAGGAACCTCCTTGATGTAAATATCAAGGAAAGTGAGACTAAGAATGATTTCCATGACTCTGATCGGTGTTGTTTTCATGGCTCCTGTTACGTTGAGACATGAGGGTTCTTTTCCTTGTGAAAAGGACATTTCAGTCTTCTTAGGATTGATAGACAGTGAATGGTTCTTACACCACTGTTCTATAATTTTGCGAAATTACCAGTTCATCTGCATATGCTATTGTGTAGTGACTGTCATTATTGAGGCAGCTGATGAGGGAGTCGAGGACCATGTTCCACAGTAGAGGTGATAGCACCCCTCCCTGTGGACATCCCCTCGCAACCAAGCCTCTTTTATTTACATCTTCTACACATGTTTACTGCTCGCTTTAACAGCATGTTATGTATCCACCCACTAACCATTTCTGTTGGTTAGTTAGTGTATTATCTTGGGGAAGATGGTTTTATCAAAAGCACCTTTTATGTCTATGAAAACACCCAAGGCGGACTCCTTATTGCCCAGGGATCTCTCTATCCGGCCAGCAACTAGATGAAGGGCTGAATCAATGGATCTATCTGGGGTGTATGCATGTTGGTTTGGGTGTAGTGGTGTTGTTCTAATCACTGCATCCCTTATGTACCTTTCGCATGGCCTTTCCAACGTTTTCATGGAAAACGATGTCAGACTAATTGGTCGGTATGTTTTTGCAACAGAGTAATCCATCCTTCCAGGTTTGGGTATGAATACCACTTTTATCTCTCTCCATTTTTTAGGAATATGAATTTGTTTCAATGTTATAGAAATAATTTTTCTAGTTACACTCGTAGCTCTACTCGTGGAATATGAAAGAAACCATAATTGTACCCATAGGCGCCGGAACTCAAAAATTGCTTTGGGTGCCCGGCCTCTATGCGGGAAATGGGGCTATCACCCCCCCCCCCTCCACCTCAGTTAAAGACCGCTTTTTAAAAGCACTTAAAAAGCTATTTTAAAACGTTGATTTTATGAAAGTTTTCTTGAAAAAAAAAGGTATTGTCAAATGTCTAATTGCTGGATAGGCTGGAGCCTTCCACCTAAATCGAGATATCTGGCATCTGGCAACCCTATATGCTCGGTGCAGCCACCACTGATATTCAGTAGTGCTGCGATGCTAGAGTACCAATGAAATAAGTACACATAAAACATTTATTAACTATTATGAATTTAAAAGGAGATTTTTGATTATTTATTAATACACATATAATGGAGTATTATATATACATACAAGGTGGCCATTTGAAAACCAAACAGAGCCAATTTTAGGCATCCCAGGTTATTTACGAGAAAACGCTTGGACCTGTCAATTTTTGATTTTAGGGAGAAACATTTTTTGCTAGGATCACCTTCTGAACAAAAACCCTCTAGCGGAGATGAAATTTACCCCTAAAATCTTAAATGGAAAGAGGGGTCGAATAATAGCTTATTTTGAAGGTATTTTTACATAGATTATAACCCCCGAGTTTTAAAACGCTACTGTCTTCCTATCCATGATCTTTTAACGATTTTTATTTTCTGTAAAAGATTACCAGTTACTCGAGTAAATGCTGGAAATGCTGACCCAGAGCCTCCATACAATAATAGAGGTTTTGTTCAAAACGCTCTGGGACATTTTGAAGCATCTGTGAGATGATTTTATGACATGCTGTGTACTGATTGTCATTCTCAATCAATTCTAGTAATGCTGGATAAATGGCGTTTTCTAATAATTCCAGATACATTTTTGCGGTTAAAGTTCCAGGTTAAAAATAGTTGCCAATTATATGGTTACCAAAAATGCCAGCTCAAACATTCAGTTTTTCGGATGTTGCGTATGTACTTCATGAAATATTCTGGGATTTGAATCGGACCAATAACGACAGTTGTGACGATTTACCGTACCATTTAGAAAAAAAGTGCATTCGTCTGAAAAACACAAGTTGAAAAGAAATTGCTGATCATTTATTGCCCGTTCAGTCATAATTTCACAAAATTGTAATCGCCTATCAAAATCGTTTTCGTTAAGTTCTTTTACTAAATGTATTTTGTAGGGATGAAACGTGTGTTTTTTCAATATCTTCTGAATGCTACTTCTTTTAATATTATATGTTATCGCCAACTGCCTTGTACTCAATGTGGGTTCTTGAACAACATGCCCTTAAATCGCCACCTCTGTAGCTTTATTTACTACAGCATTTTCCATTTCACGTTATTTGTTAGCTATTGACTCCGTTTCCCAAAATTTTTGGACTAACTCCAAAATATATTTTCGATTTTGATGTTGATTGTTAAACAGTTGGGCATTTCTATTAGCACATTCATTGTTCGCAAAAAAATTATTTGCCCCCTCTTAGCAATTGAGTAAACCATTATCACTGATATGCCACTTTTATGCCGACTCTACAACGAAATAAACTAAACCTTACTATTTTACGGCGACCAAATAATGTCATCTGATAACAATAATTGAAAGCCACAGGAATAAAACTAGAATTGTTACAAAGAATTCGTTTTTTTTTATAACAATGTAAAAATTATGTTAAACCTGTTTTCACTTTTGGTGAACCACTGTATGGGTTACATAGATAGTAGCGATGTAAAACTTGGGGGTTATTATTTATTATCTAGGTAAAAATACCTTCAAAATAAGATATCATTCTACCCATCTTTCCATTTAAGATTTTACTGGTGAGTTTCATCCCCGATAGAGGGTTTCCGCTCAGTGGGTGCAACTGGCAAAAAATGTTTCCTTCCAAAATCAAAAATTGACGGGTCCGAGCGTTTTTTGGTAGATGACCCGGTTTCTCGCCAGCACTACTAGAGAACTGTTTCTGACTCTAAATGAACGTTTTTTTCTACCTGTGCTTGATCGGGAGCAACTTTCAAATGTTCTCCCTTCTCCCCTTAAACATTTGTTCAATAGCATATGTACAGAGCTCTTGTCTTGATAATTGTAGACCGTTATTAGTCGTTCTTTTTTGACGTCATAGGGTTTTATACACCAAGAATAATAAACCCTTAAGTCCAAGTTCAACGCGCTGTCTATAGCAAGTCACGGCGACTTTTTTATCACAAAAAATACAGCTCCGAACGATAATATTTTATCGAGACATCCTGTCGCTATACCAACTTGGGCCACGACAGCTTCTTCATTTCACTTATTGGCACTTTTTGTCTACGTTGTGCTTGCGCACCCAGAGCCCCGGGGATTCGGCGCCTATGATTGTACCTATATTAATTTGGTAAATGATGTGGACGAGTACTTTTGTGTGTATAATTACTTAGATAATATTAGGCTTTCTGCTTAAAGCCATCATCAAATTCTTCAACGATGTTTCAGACATGGCGAGATGATTTTGTCATTATAGATTTTAAAATTTATTTTTAATTTTATAATTTTACCACAATCAAAATTTATTTCGGTTCAATCATTATTTCTACGAACACTAACAACTATATTTTAAGACACAGTGTAGTTTTATATTGTATTTTGAGCATAATATGAACATTTAAAAGAAAACCATCTGCATACTTTGAAAAAAGATTTATTTATTAGATTATTTAATACTTTAATACATTACAATTATCTTTTTCCAATACACGCTAAACTGCATAGATATATAACCAAGACAGATAGAATTATTTACAAAATTTTTGAAGAATGAACAGTGGTGTCCGCGGTAGAAACCCAATAATCGGATTGAACATTGATGCCAAGTTTACGTGCTTTTAACTATAGATATATATATAACCAATACATATTACACAATTTCTGAAGTCAACGCGGATGATCCTCGACAGAAATGCAATATTTGGATAAAACTAAAATATTGATGCCAAGTTTGCGATGTTTTTAACTGTAGTAATGTTA